AGCCAGAGTCTGGCTCTGTCACCCAGGGGAGAGTGCAGTGGCATAATCTTGGCTCACTGCACCCTCTGCCTCCTAGGTTCAAGCAATTCTCCTGCCTTAGCCTCCCGAGTAGCTGGGATTACAGGCACCTGCCACCACACTCAGTTAATATTTGTATTTTTAACAGAGATGGGGTTTTGCCATGGTGGCCAGGCATATTTTTCAATCATTGTAATTCATTGCCCTGAAAATTTAATTGCTCCACAAAGTTGGATTAGAAAAGTGTTGCCCAGAAAAGACAGTATCTCCTATTCTTATTTTTTATCTGAAGAAAATAAAATACTTGCTAGGAAAAAATCCAAAATGTAAAACAAAATTTAAAGTAGAATTTGATTCTGAAAAGTAGAAAAGTTTTTGGCAAGATGAAGGAGGTTGTTGTTGCCATGAACAGAAAGTTGGAAACTGTATAAAGATCTTAAATATGGAAATGTGCATGACTTTGACCCAAATACTTTTTAAATTTTCATGTCAATGTCTGAAAACTTTTAGAAAGGTCTATGGTATTCACGTCTCTCTTGCCAGACAAGGACAGGCTTATTTCTAGACACTTGAGTTCCCTCAAGATTCTTCAGGTTGAATTTACACTGCATCATTTCATTTGTCCTGATCTCTGAGGTCAGCTTTGTCTGTGTCTGAGTTGTTGATGCTATCTTAGCAGTGGAAGGAAGTCTTCTTAATCAGTTTTCCAAATTGTAAGCAAATAATCTGAGCAGAGTATTGTTCTTCAATGTTTGTCTTTAAATTTCTGCCTACAATCAAACCTCTAAGGCTTTATTAATTCTCTTTCATTTACAGAGGCACTTCTATCTTCAGAGAGTTAGCTTAATTTTGTTTTCTATGTTTAACTATCTTCCAGAATTGCAAAAAAAACATAGCTAAGCAAAAAGTTTTTGCCTTATTTGTTTTTAACTACCATGTATATGGTGACTTGATGCCTTCATTGGAAAATTTACTCTTGCCTATGGCCAAAAGTATTACAGAGAAAACCCAATCATAAATAGATATCTTTGTGTCAGATTATATGGAACAAGCTTTCTTTTCTCTCCTAAAGAACTGAATTTTCCTCTTGATGCTTCAATCAATCCTTTTAAGACTTGTCTTCAAAAAAAAACCAGTGTACTTCTGCTTAGTAGATAACATTTTAATTTTGCTCTCATTTCTTCATAAAATCATTTGAAAATGAGGTGGATAAAGCCCTGACTCTGATGAAATTGAGGACTTACTTCTAAGTAGATGATGACAAAATTTCTTCCAAGTTGGTTGGCAGAGTCTCTAACTGAAAAGCATACTGATGAGGACAGCAATGAGTCATTATGACATACGGAGCCTATTTGTTCATCAAAGCAGCAACTCAGATGGGTAACCAAGTCCTGCAAGGGCTCCATCTGTGAGCAGAATATCAAGATTATCCTCATGGGGAGGTTTTCATGCAAAGAAACTTGCCACCATTTTGAAGACAGTGAGAGCCTTTGAAATTTCAAAACAGGGCTCAGGAAAGAGGAATTCTTTTTTGAAGTGTAGGCCTGATCCCAGCAGCTGAAAATCAGTTGTGAACTACAGTGAGAAATGTAGTGGTTACATCCAGTTGCATACTGAAAGGAATGATGAATAGCTGCCAATTCTTCTACGAAAGTGCTTAAAATATGAGAATAATGTGGAAGTAGATCATGTCACTTGAATAACACACTGCTTCAGATTCTTTTCTGTTTCAAGTCATACATTTGCTCAATGATTTCCAAGGCACACGGATTAACCAAGGCTTCTCCAGTTGTGTGTGGTAATGTGATAACCAACCTTATCCAATACTTCAAAACAAAGTTTAATGTTTGGGAAAAATGCAAGATTTAGTAGAATACCAAGACTTTTTCCAAAAAAAAAAATCCTCTGTCAAATATATTTGCATCATGTAAAGTCTTCCTTCAGGATTGTTAGTAGCAACAAATTTGATTATTAAAGCCAAATCGAAGAGTATATTAGTATTACTATGCTTCTTGAATATTTTCCAGTTTAACCAGACAACACATAAACATAGAAAGATTCTCGTAATCATGAATGTGAGTCAATGGCCACAAGGGCATGTTCAATAGGAAGTAATGAGACATCATTACATAAGTTAAAATCCTGAGGATATACAATTGTATCTCATGCCATCCCACACTTACTTAGAATGAGATAATATCTCAACGCATGGATTGACATTAAAATGTATGTTTATTGAAGGCGTGTCTGTGTGTGTGTGTGGGTGTGTGCGCGCGCATGCGTGCACCAATTCTGCTAATTCATAGAATTCTTGGAAGGCATACATAAGGGGCTATATGAAGACCCTCAGGCTAAATTCTTTACAATCTTCTTCTGGATTAAGTCAGGTCAGCAGCAAATTACGCTCTTAACCCATTTTAAATGGGCTCTCCATAGAACTGCTTTTAATGAATGGTGATGTCTCCAATTTATAGTGAGGATCATTGTAAGAAATAGTTTCATAGAGCTTGTTGCTATGTTAACTAATAGATATTATGAAAGATGTTTTTATTACATTATACAGTTTTCTTTGTGTGTGTCTCTCTCTCATAGCCATGGGAAAAGTTTATTTCTGTCTTATGGACACCTTGGAACACAAAGTGAATCATGTTTCTCTCCACAGGGGTTGCTAGAAGATTTAGAACCATATTTGTGGTTCACCAAAAATATTGAGTCAATATTTTTGAGATCTTGATCTAAGTCAGTTCAAGCTGCTATTTCAAAGCTGCCAGCTGTTTTCTGCTTCATTTTAGAGGAGGGCTATTTTCTACATTACAAGAAATATTTTCATTTATCTTTTGCAAAGGTAAAACCAAAAATTTTATTTCAGAATGGAAAACTTTGGACAATATGGGAGCTAAATTTCTCTAAACATTAATATGAAACTTTGCCTTTCTTTAGGGGACTCATGTCTGTACAGATTATGGTATGCCTTCTTCCAGGCATACCATTGTCTGGAAGAAGGGCTTGAGACTGAGGGTGAGGGAAAAGTGATGTTCTTCCCTTCTTATTGGATCCCAGGGAGGGCTAGGCTCCTTGACTTTCAAAAAGGAGGGGAATCAGAGAAAGAAAAATTCCTCTGTAAGAAGCAAGCTGGAGCCTGCCATTAGACTGAGTTTGAGGAAAAGCAGAGACAGCTGGGAAGAGAGACTATGGAGGTCCATAGTTTGGATATGAAAATGGTCAGTGCCTCTAGAATCTGTTTGACCTACAACTCCAAACTCCATAGTTGAGCCTACAGATTCTAGAGGCACTGACCATTTTCATATCCAATTTAGAATTTTCCTTTTCTGTGTGGCAACTTCTTTGTGATAGTTCCTTTACTTTTAGTAAAGTCTTATGCATTGCAGAAACTGACCTCAAGTGTGGAATAGCACAATGTTTGGGAATGTAGCAGCAGTCAGGACAAAGCTGGATCTGAGATGACCAGAAGTGAGTCGCCCAAAGTGAGATAGCAAGCTGAGGAGGGAAGCAAGCCCTGAGATAGAACTGTGGCAGATGGAGGCTTTCTGCAGAGCTCCAGAAACACTCAGAGACAGGAAACTGGTGGAAGACTGGATTGCCTTTGGTCCCCTGGAATGGATACTTGGACTCTTGCTTTGGATATTAAAGATCAGTGAAACAACAAGGTCTGGAGTAACTGGGACTTTTAGGTTACACGAGTATACAATTTTGTGGTGTACACTTAATTTACATCTTTAATCCTGGTTCCATCTTATTTTCTCATCCTTATTTTTTTCATTACTCATTACTATAAACTTATGTATGTGCTTATTTAATTTTTGAAAAATGTGAAACTATGAGGCCTGGGGGTAACACAAGGGGCAGATGTTTTCGGCTAGAACTCATGGCCACAAAGACAGCAGACCTGTTACCCCCCTGTGCAGAGGCATTTTGGGCTGGACAGATCCAGACTGCTCCAAGGAGGGACAACAACACCTATTGCTCTTACTTATTTTTTTGGAATGAGCACAAAAATGCCCTCATCAGCAAGAAGACTTCTTATTGTCAAGCTGCCAGAATTTAGGTGGCTGCTGTTTGCAGCAATCCTGGGAAAACCGCTCCATAACACCTGGAGACTTTGAGGCCAATAGGAAATTGAAGTTCTTGCTGCTAGGGGAAGGATTAGATACAAGTTTCTTAGTAGGAGCTGGAGTGGGGCCAGTTCCATTGGGTAATCCAGGATGAGCACTTGGATTTAAAAAAAAAATTAATCCTACTTATTACTCCATAACATCTTTGGAAATTATCTTAAGAAAGCAGGATAGAAATAATTAAAAACAAAATAAGAAATGGCATAATGATCATGACAATCTCTTATACGGTTTAGATTTGTGTCTCCACCCAAATTTCATGTAGAATTGTAATCCCCAGTGTTGGAGATGGGGCCTGGTGGGAGGTGATTGGCTCATGGGGGTGGATTTTCTCCTTTGGTGCTGGTAGAGTTCTTACCAGATCTAGTTTGTTAAAAGTATATGGCATCTCCTCCTATCTCTCTCTTCTTCCTGCCCTGGCCATGTCAGATGTGCTTGTTTTCCCTTTGTCTTCCACCATGATTGTAAGTTTCCTGAGGCCTCCCCAGCCATGCTTCCTGTACAGCCTGTGAAACTGGAAGTCAATTAAATCTCTTTTCTTTATAAATTACCCAGTTTCAGGTATTTCTCTATAGCAGTGCAAGAACAAGCTAATACAATCTCCTTCCCCTGCTCTTCCAGGAAACCCCAAATTATGTCACCCATAGAATATTGTCTTCAAAATAATTCTCTCTAGAGGATAGAGACAACACTCCATAATTCAAAACATATTGGACTTCTCTTTAGAAGCCTTCAAAACCATTTATCACCACAGGAAAAAAAACTCCATCATTACCTTATGGCAATTAGACATTCTGTATCAGTCCTCTAATCTTTATTCTGCCTTTTCTTTTTTTCTGTTGAATGTAGCCCCTCCCACCCCTGTCCCTTCCTCAGCCTTTACACAAGGAGTAGTTATATCCCCAGAGAGGCCATGCTGGGGCTGCTACTGGCATGAAGCTAGAGATGCTGGAACACAGGGCTGTGAGGCCAGACAGGCTGAGCGTCAAGGAAACAATCTGCAGTGGCCCTGCGAGGAGGCTGACGGTGGTAAGTTAATTTGCATGCAGTCTGCAAAGAGCTATTTTATAGCTGAGTGCTGTATGTGTGCGTCACGGTAGGCAGGAATTGCTGGGGCAAGTCAAATTGCTTTGAGTTTAGGAAAACCTATATAGAGCCTCATATAAATGCCTGGTGTAGTCATTATTACCTATTTATTTTAAAGGAAATAGCAAGTTATTTTGGGTACAATGGCACCTTGTTATAAAGACTTGTATGTTAAAATGTTCTTGGTTTTACGTATCTGAATAGTTATTTTTTTTCATTTGCCTCATTGTAGTTATAGTGGTATCAGAAAATATTCTCCCCAACTCAAAAGTACAACAACTGAAAAACATGGAAGAAAAAGCCAGTAGAGGGCACGTTGATTAGAAATAAAAATGCTCTTGAGTGATCTCTATTGCTGTTCCCTCCTCCCCCTAAAGAGTAAGAGTTACTTCAAATATGAATGCAAAAGTCAGCATTTGGAATTTTTATATTTTTGTTTGCTTAGAGAATTTAAGTATTTGCAAAGTAGAATGAATAAATTTTATAATAAAAGTAGCACAAAAATAATAATGTATTTTATAATTACCTTGATCCCCTCACTTTTAAATATAAAAATGCCCTTCCTACAGTTCCTCTTAAACCTCGCTCTTAACATTTTCTTTGACTATCAAAATAAGATATTCTGAAAGGTAGAGAAGGATGGTGAAGTAAAAAATAACAAAATAAAATGACTCGGCCTAGAGTCAAAATCTACTTGTGTTTTGATTTATTTTTTTCCACTATTTTCCTGTGCATTTCCCTATGGATATTTAACAGTGTAAGGCAGTATAATAATGCAATTACTTTTTTTAAAGAGAGTTTATAGCAATGGTGAGATCGCATGAGAGGTAGTATGATATGTTTTCTTCTTAGCCTGGACACAGCATTCCAATGCTTCCAAGAGTAAACTTACATTAGCACCTGGAAAACCAAGGAAGTAACTCAGGACTGGTTGGCATGCAACTTTACATCATATATCTTCCAAAGTTCTCATCTGATTGGGCTGGTGTACATCACCACACATGGAGCATCCTTATTGGCCAAAGGGATTTAACCTTTCTTATGTCCACTTTTACATAATTACCACTGGCTTAGACTCTGATCCTTGGGCCAATATTTCATGGCCATGGAAGTGGGACTACTTTCTCTTAGCACATAGTACAGTCTCAACATACGTGGAATTTAGCGTATAAAGTCAATGTGAGAATCCAGGTGAGAGAAGCTGATGTGACTTAGGATATTAGCTACAGAAAAGGTGAAAAAAGCAGTGATTCTTGGTATACTTAGAAGGTAAGCTAACATTATTTGCTAATGGAATGAGTGTGGGAAATGAAAGAGAGAAGTCAGGGATGGCTTGAGCAACTGGGATAGACAGGGCCATTTACTGAAGGAGTATATAGGAGGAAGAAATTGGGGGGATTGGATATGTTAAGTTTGAAATGCATCTTAACCATCAAAACAAAGATGTTCAATGTACAAATCTTGATTTTAAAGGAGACGCAGGATATAGAGGTATAATTCGGGAGTCATCAAGGAGGCATGTTGTGTAGTGCTTAAAAGCAGCTACTCTGGATTCAGATTGCCTGGGTTCCAGTCTTGGCTCTTTTCTCTACTAGCTATGACTCTGGGCAAATGATTTAACTTATCTATGCCTTCCTTTTCCTTCTAAGTTGAGGATAATAATAGAAACAATCTTAGTGCTGTTGTGAGGGATGATTAGTATATGTCATATACTTAGAATGAGGCACAAAGTAGGCATATCAACCATTTGTCCTATTATTATCACATAAGTCTAGTTGACATTTAAAGCCATTGTACTCAGTGAGATCCCTTGAGTCTAGCAGAAGACTGAGAGCTGAGATCCTCCAATCTTTAGATTGTAGAAGGGGGAAAACACTAGAGGACACTTAAGAGTGAATAGGATAAGAGGAAAGAGAGAATAGTGTCCCCAGAAGTCAACTGAAAATATCTAGAAGAAAGCAGAGATAAAATACCATGTGCTGTTGTCAAGTTTAATAAGATGAGGCCTGAGAACTGTCTCCTGAGTTTGGCTACACAGAGATTTTAAGGGACCTGTACAAGAGCTATTCTGATTGGAAAGTACAGTACAAAAAAGAGGTAATTTGTAAAGGATACTGTTATAGACTTGGATCTTTATACACTAGAATTATGATTATTTTTGCAAGGAACCCCCACTATGACAGCTCCTTAGAGACTAAGACTGTCTGAGGGCACAGCAAATTCACAACCCTTATCTCATGCTAACTTAGGGGTACACACTTATTTAGTGGAATAGTAGGCAACATTGCCAGCACTCTTTTAGTAGTTATTTTTCTCTCTCTGTGTCTTTTTTTTTTTTTTTTTTTTTTGCTGCAAACATAGAGTTAAATGTGCACATGTCAAACCACGTAATACCACTGCCTTATTACAAGCTAAGTCAACATTAGACGTAAGCAACTGCTAAGGGTGGTTTCCTCAAAATGGAACTTGGGAAGTGGTGGGCAATTTTGGTTTCATAGACCCAGCAGTACATTTGTCCTGTGTCCTACTTTCTTCACACAGTATTAAATCGTGAGCATTTCTGCATGTTATTAAATTTTTTTCACAAATGTCATTTTTAATAACTTTAATAATTCAACGTATGACTGTTCCATAATTCATTTAACTATTCTTTTGCATGTTGATGGTGTTTATAATTTTTAATTGTTTCAAACACCACCATATTAATCTGTCATACATTAATCTTTGGCCTTCTCTGTATTTCCTTGGGGTAAGGGGTAGTTTTCAAAAATGGGATTAAAGCATGAATATTTTAAAGGCTGCTGTTAAGTAGCTCTCTAGAATTATTATACCAGTATAAGATATGCCAACAAAGATAAAGTGCCTACCTCACCACACCCTGGCCAATACTGAACATGCATTTTTAAGTTGTGACAGTTTTCTCCATGAATAAAGATATCATACTCTTGCTTTAATTTTCAGTCCAAAGGTTAGCATCTTTATTTGCTTATTAAGCATTGAATTCTTTTCCTTCTGAGATTTTATGTTCCAGTTCTTTGCTCTTTTTTGGTTTTTATTACTATGGTTATATGTCATCTTGATATGTGTGGATCTCTTCATTATGACTGATAGTTCATGAAATAACTTTTCCCTCCACTCCTTCCATCCCCACTTTCCTTAGTCCCCTGAAAAGCAATGGGCACAAGAAATGGCATAGAAATCACAGTCCTGACTCTAGGCAGATGCTCAGTGCTGCCCACTGTCAGCTTGAACTTACTGGGGATTTGGTCCCTCTGCAAAAGCTTCCTAAGGATCTACAGGGATGTATAGGAGGTGGTTAAAAAAAAATAGAAAATAGATTTGCACCACCTAGTCATTTACTGGGAAAACACTTTCTAAAGATGTATAAAACTCACCCCACGTGTTAGAGAATTTAGCTCAATGATTCAAATAAAACCCAGTAGCAAGCGACATTGAATAACATTTGAAAAATGTCATCTTTTAAAATCTTTTAAACTGAGCTGTGCCCTGCTGGGTGGAAAGGCTACTCCCCCAAGCAGCTGATGCAGGATTCCTTTTAGAGCTCTCAGTGCTAGTGATATGCAGGAAGACTGATGAAAATAATTGCACTTTAAGAGAATCTGGCTAAACATTTTTTTTAGCAGAAATCCCAAATATGGCATAATTTTATTAACGATAGCCTTCATGCTGTGTGTAAGATCTCCATTTATTACAAATATTTGATTAAACATCTGTGATTTAGAATACCAAATGATTAAAAATTACCTAATACAAGAGTTATAGCAATCAGGATTTTGTCTACTGCTTTAAGAACTGCTAGAACATTATTTATGAATATCATGTTTGCACCAGGCAAATGCCTCTGTTTCTTAAAAGATATTGCGATTTGCCAATCTAAACCATTTTATCTATCTCAATGCTGACTCATTGAAAAGATGATAAACTTCTAGTATCATAAGTGGTATGTCTAGACTGAAATTACATACAGGTGCAATAAATGCCTTCCTAAATTGTGTACAAATCAGAGTCTTACAAATTTAATAGAGATAAGAAATTTATACTGTAAGCAATTAAAATTAAAACTAGAGTGTAGCATTTTATAGGGAAAAGAATTATTTCATAAGTAAAGAATCTTCACCTAATTTATCTGCAAAGCACGTGGACTTGCTCAAGTCATTTACCATTTTGGGGGCTCAGTTTCCTCATCTGTAAAATGATGTTTCTCTACATTGTTTTAGATGTATCTCTAAGGCTCCTCCAACTCGATCACTGTCCTAATATGTACTATACATAGACAGAAATTGGCCTTATTAAAGATCTATCCTATAAAAGGTACTACTTATTCTGAAAAATGTCATCCCAGGTCTCAGTCTTAGAACCTTGTCTCTGCTAGAGTCAAGTGATCTCATTGAGTACAATGGCTTTAAATATCAACTATATTCATGTGATAATAATAGGACAAATGTTTGATATGCCTAAATTTTGTGCTTCATTCTAAGTATATGACATATGCTAATCATCCCTCACAAGAGGGTCAATGCATCCAGTCTAGAAATTCATGTATAATGATCTTTTTTACTTAGAATTTTATAACAATGTGTATTAGTTAGGATAGCTAAACCAAAACAATACGATTAATTTTTAAGAAATTCAGTGTTTATGAGCACTATTTCTAAAGAAGTTTATTTCCTCCACCATATTGTACAAAATGCCTGCTAATTAATATTGCTGCTTGATGATTATTGGATGACAGCTTCTCATTCTGTATACACCATCCTGGTGCTGTATCTGGGTTTTGTATTTGAATTTTGTGTTTTCACTATTCTGAACACTGTTGTATAGTTGAAAAAGAGACTATGAGCAAGTTCTCCTACTCTCCCATTTTTTAATTTGTAAGCTTTTCGTTGTGAAATTTGTATTAGCCAGACATGAGGTTGGAAGTG